GGCATCACATTCACTGTGAAATAAACTGCTGGGGCATTCTGGCACATTTCTGGCTTCTACATCTGCAGTATTCGCTGGGAGTCAAATAAGTCTGCAAGTAATAAAACAGAACTCAATGCAAAGCGCCCAAGTAAAAACTGTATTTCTCACAAATCTCTCTTAAGCAAGAATTAAAAAAAAAAAAAAAAAAAAGCCTGTAGTAAGAGATGGAGGGAAACAATAATAAGAAATTTAAAATAAAGGGGGAGAATAAACTTCTAAGATTCCATTTTAAAGTAAAACGAATAGGAACATCCTTATGTTTAGCATCAGAATTTCGGATAAGAATCAAATTATTCCCCAAATATCTCTTGCCTTATCCCACCTTTCTTGCCACAAAATCAGAATCTGCTGCAAATTCCTCTAGACAGATGGAAGGATAAACATAATACCCCAGTCACATGATAGGAGGATAGTGACTTTACAGCCAGTTCCCTATAAAATATTTTATGGCATGAATCTAAAAGGATTTAGTGTAATGTATGTTATAATACGCATATAATTTTTATTTTGAAGTATTTGTTGTAAAAGAAATTGTACAGTCTTTTCCATAATTCACACACAAGTTTTTATTCTTAATAGCAATTTAAGATTCTTAAATTAATTTAAATTTTTTTTAAAAAAGAAAAGTATCTTCTACTTTGACTGCACTAAAAGAAAAGCACTCAAATATTTGAGATCAAAATACAAAAGAAATATGTAAGTTCTTCTTTCTGTGGCTTACACCAGCAAGAACAATGGTGTGCTCTTTGTACAATTAGACTTTCTTCTTCAACTGTCAGAAGTACACAACTTCCTAGAAAGTCCCCTTTACTGCTCAACCATCAAAGCACACATGTGCGTATGCGTATGTATATGGGTATGCATGCATGCATTTCTCATTGAGAAGACACTCTAATACAAGCCAGTAGCATTTGGTCAGAACATACAGAATGTTTGGAATAAAAAAAAACCCCTGAAATAATAATTATATTTCCTTAAAAATTTTGAAACCCTTTTACTCTGAAGAGATTAACAGAGGTGACGTTTAAAAGTTATTTGCTGTGTATTTTTATCTGGAGAGGAAATTCTTTTTCTGTGACATCTTTTTCAACTCCACTTATATGAAGCCACAGAAATCAACAGGTACAACCAGACTATGCAACAACGACAAACAAGGGTTACAATGCTGCTGTGCAACAAAACCATTAGTTAAGGCAGACTGTTCATTTGCATATCACAGAATCAGAGCATGGTTAGGGTCAGAAGGGACCTCTAGAGGTCATCTTGCCTAAGGCCACTGCTCAAGCAGGGCCACCTAGAGCCAATTGTCCAGGACAATGTCCATAGGGCTTTTAATCATCTCCAAAGAGGAAGAATCCACAGCCTTCCCGGGCAAGTTGTGTTAGTGCTCAGTCACTCTCACAGTAAATATGCATTTCCTGATGTTCAGAAGGAACCGACTGTGTTTCAGCTCATTCCCATTGCCTCTTGTCCTGTCCCCTAGGCACCACTGAAAAGAGTCTGTCTTCTCTACACCTTCTGTATAGGTATTTATACACATTGATGAGAGACTCTGAGTCTCTGTTCTCTGAATCTACTCTCAGAATCTACTGTTCTCCAGGCTAAACAGCCCCAGCTATCCCTCAGCCTTTCCTCATAGGAGAAATGCTCCAGTTCCTTGGTCATCTTAGTGGTGCTTTTCTGGACTACCTCCAGCAGCTCCATCTCCCCTTGTACTGGGGAGCCTACAACTGGACACAGCACTCCAGGTGTGACCTTACCAGTGCTGAGTAGTGGGAAAGGATCACCTCCCTCGACCTGCTGGCAGCACTCCTCCTAAAGCAGCCCAGGACACCATTTGCCTTCTTTGCCACAAGGACACATTGCTGGCTCATGTTCAACTTGATGTCCACCAGGACCTACAGGGTCTTTTCTTCCGAGCTGCTTGCCAGCTAGTCAGTCCCCAGCCCATACATCCACCACATGTAAGCAGCAGTAAGTGTCTCAATTCCAAGACATGTAACACTTCTGTACTTTCAGAACACATCTTATTCTTCATGACGTCTCTGAACTGAAAGCTTGATATTCCCTCTCTTCTTAAAATAACAAAATCACTTCTAACCTGTAGTTTTACTCTCTCATAACTGAAGGAATAGGAAGCACATTGTAGTACGATTCCTCTGCAAGTGAGATGCGATAAGGAAAAGGCACAACTAGTTATGTTTTTCTGCATCCCTTCCCCAGAAGCATCAGAGCAAGAAATTTCAACCCCAGTCCATGTCTGACCTTCTCTCACATCCTCACATTCACTGAAATACCATTTCTTCCCTTTTGCAGCAGATTCTGTTCATGTTTTATGTTCCTGTTCCTAGTAGACTTTCTGGACCTGAATGAGAGTCCACTGTCAGCACCAAGGAAACGGAGCAGGAATAACAAGAGCTTTGCTCTAAACACAGTTGAAATCCCTCAATCATTTTTTAAAATGATCTGGTAGAATATGCCCATGCAATTTGAGATGTGGTGGCTGAAACAACATATGCATTAAACAAAGTCTTTCAACCTGAAAAACTGTAAGTACTGAACAAAGATGCTACATATTTGTAGAAAGAAACTATTCAGAGTAAAGGGATTTTACTTTTGACTTCTTTCAAGGTAGTATCAATTTGATATTTTTATTATAGTCCTTCCAAAACTAGCACAAAAAGTATTTTCTATTTTTTAATTCCTGAACAGAAAGAGCGAGAGAAGGGATCTAATCTGGCATTTATGTTTCGACTGCCCTTCGCTGCTGGCAGAGTTTTCAGCATCAGTATGTTGGATACGCTTCTTTATCAGGTACTGTGAACAGTAATGTAACATATCTTAACACAGACGTGCATTGTTACCACCCATTTTATTGTATATAATTGTCAGATGACCTTGTTTTCCTGCATGTAAGCCATTAACATGCTTGTCTGTACCAGGAACAATCAAAGGCAAAAAATAATGGAGCATGTTCCACATAACAGTACTAGCTCAGTTATCAATGCCCCCCCCAAAAAAAATCACCCTGTCCTTGCATGAATTCTGTTGTTAAGCAATATAATACTCTTTGTTTGACTGTGGGGAGGTTCACAAACAGGATAGTTTTGATAAGGCCTACATAAAATACAAATTATACAGACTAATAATGCTTGTACTCTGCAACAAAAAGGCAGTGCCCATTCCCATAAAGTAGTGTCTCTAACCACGAAAATCAACAGAATTACTTTTATGAGTAATTCATCAGTCATCTGCATTTTCTGACAGAGGCCTCAATTCCTTCATTGTGTCTTGACCTCTTACTCATGTCAACTAGACCCCCAGATAACTCATCATTGTACCTTCAAGTAACCCATTCTGGCCCTAACAAGAAATACACACAGTGGTTACAAAGAGGCAGTGGGGGAAGAAAAGGCAGCACTGAACCTTGTTGCCCAAGAATCCAGGACGGAGCTCCTCATGCAAAAAGAAGTGATGATGTTCAGTGTGGATAATGGAAGATTAACAGCCTCAGATATTTGAAGAAAAAATATATCAGAAAATACAGGGTCAGGACAAATGAAGGTAGTAGTTGCTGGTTTCAAGGTGGAAAAAGAGGAGAATATTGCCCTTGCTCCTCAGCCGTGACCACCATTCTGCACACCCTGATACATTGGGATGCCCAAACAGCAGCTCCCAGCACTAGCCTTCAAGGATCTAATTACACAGAATAAGCAGCAACACCACCATGACCTATGCAGTCTGCTCACCTAAGCAGCTACCTACTTTGCCTATACCTAGAGGTAACCTATGGATGATTTTGTATTCAGGTGCTAAACAGTCTTTCAGGGAAATTAGTTTACCTGGCAACTTGGTGCATGAAATGAGTTTTTACATCTCAATTTCGTCTCAATCTCTCTCTGAAGGCAAATTCAATGTCAATAGAAAAATTCCTGGAGCTAAGCTTTTTGAGAAAAGTCATTAATGTATAAGACAGTCATGTATATGGACAGGTACCAAAAGCAGATAAGCCAACAGATGTAAAGCCATTTATCAAATTCTAGATGTGTTAGAAATAAATGTATTTACTTATAAAACATGTTTTTAATCATGTGTCAGAACATCAACATCACATATAGTAAAATTTTTTTTAAAAAATGGATTAAGACACCTGTATAGAAACAGATCTGTCATCATCAACAACTCCTGCTAGCCCAGAAATAACTTCAATATTTTATATTTGCTCCTAGACATTGTCCGTCATGCTATGACTTGATAGGGTAAAACCATTCACCAGAAAGTGTTAAAAAAAACCCAACAAAAAAACCACCACCATACTCATTCTCACTCAGATTCCACCCATTCCTTCTTTGAACTCCTACTACTCAGGTGAACTGTCATTTTTCTAGAATTACCTTTCTTATTCCAAGTTACAAATAGTATGACAGCAATTTGTCTCTGTCCTTTTTCAAGGTCCAGTCCTTTTCTGTATGACATCTTGTTCTTCTGCATACAAGCAACAGATCAAATGACACAGGAAGCAGCAGAGTTCATCTGGTGCTTCCTATTTTAGGTGAAAATAAAAGCCTTCTAATTATCTTTGGGATACTGACTGAAAATTGAAAACTTAGTCTAGCAAATCCTGTGAATACACTTGGTAATCTAAGGGTAATTCTGTAGCATAAATGATGCAACTAAGATACTAAATAAGCAAAGGTTACAAAATTTTTTTTTTTCTTTTCAAGAAGATGCTCACAGGCATTAACCCCATCACAACTGGATCGCTATGTATCAAATTAAATCTGTCTAGCTTCTGAGTTTAAACAAATTCAGATGCTATAACTCTAAAGGATTTATATAACACCTTTGTAAGGTATTTCTTTATTAAAACCTATTTGCTAGCTCCATATTTGCATTGAGCCAAAAGAGCCAATTGAAAATTATGGTCTAACAAGAATTGATAGCCTGCCTTGAATGCTTGCCCTACTAGTGCTAAGAAGAGGTGGCAATGAACAGTCCCACCACAGTTAGCAGAGCAACCAGAATGCCCTCTGATTCCAACAGCCCACTCACAAGGAGGAAATATATTTGTGATTTCAGCCGATCTAATGTCTGTTCCCAGTCTTAGCCTACACTTCTATATTTGGTTAAAAGGTAGAAATTAAGCTAATCAGCAAAACACTTCTGTTAGCAGAGCAACAAGCCTGACTTGAGATAAGGCAGATCAACCCTTTAAAAAAACAAAAAATAATAGATGGACTGGCAAAGGCAAATGACTCATTTGAATTAAAATAGTAGCAGTGTCACCTTAGTATTATCCACTAGTCAGTACTGCAGACCCATCTAACATATGACAGCATTTCTTTTGCATGGAAGAGTTCATTATTATAATTTCACACCTAATAAAGCTAACACCTTACTTCCACTGATCTTACATCTACATTCATCTTTTCTTTCATGTTGCCTTATTATGCCTTAGCCGCTTTGAATCCTGTGTGTACAATTGCATGCGTATGCAGAACCAAATAAGAAAACTTACTTTATGTGAGTAGATTCAGCACAAAGGGATAGCTATTTCTACAGTGATTCAGATACTTAAGAGATGAAGAGATTGATTGTAAACAGATGTACAATTTATTTGAAGTTCACACATGGTGCTAATGGTTACCTGCTCATCTGTTCACTAAAGCCTTTTTCTTTCTTTTCTCTTTCCTGTTAAAAATCTTGCAGTCGTTTGTGAAAGATTACATGATTTCTATCACAAGACTTCTGCTGGGACTTGATACCACACCAGGATCTGGGTTTCTTTGTTCTGTAAGTTATTAAAAAAAAAAAAATTATTACAGAGTACCAGAGAAGATTCTGCACTGTCTGCAAAATACCTCTACTTTCTTTGTACGCACTTCCTTTTGTGAAAGTCCAAGAAAGGCCATCTTGTCTCCTTTTTCACCAGGGGAGAAGACAAGAAAATTAGATAGAAAACATACACATTTTTAATTACTTCCATAGCAAAACACATCCTCCCCACCCTCAAGAAAAGACAATATATTCTATAAAGCACAAAGGAAAATAGGAAAGACAGGAAAACACAGGAAAAGTGCATTTTATATGAAATTGCAATGGCAGGTCAGTAATCAATTAAAAACCAGGAAGCACTATCTATATTGTGCATCCTGGCTAGCACAAACAATGCTGTTTCACAACTCCCATTTCCATTATAGGCAATAAGGGGCAGAATTGGATTTTACATAAAGATAAGATGTATTAAACGACTTTAGGTGTCAAAGTTCAAAAGTCAATAAAATATGTATGTCAGTATTCCCCAAGTTTATAGGGTTTATGCAGAGTTTATTTTTAATATCTATTTTTTCTCTATATACACACATGCTCATAAAAAATAAGACCATAAAAATTAATTTTTTTATTAAAAATAACCCCCACCTTTATGTTTTCTCCCATCACATCCCAGGTGGCAAACAGATAAATAGAAGTTGAATTATTTACTAGTTGCTTTCTGGGGAATTATGAAGAATTACAGGATGTTGTTCTCAAAAAGGAAAATCGTCATTGATGATTAAGAAAGTTGTTTAAATAAAAAACAATTATGGATTTGTTGGTCAATCATTAAGCTTTGTTCCAGTGAATGCAAGACAGTTGTATCTCTGAAAAGGGGCTCATACCTTGAAATAAAGGTAGTGTAATAGTAATGAAATACTTGATATCAAGACTTTCTTATGCCATTTATGCTTAGTGTATTACTTTCCACCCACTCCCTTATTCCCAGATAAATAGACTGCAGGCTGAATATCTGGCTGCATTCAAAAATACTTCTGTGTTCTTCAGTGTGTCCATCACCAGTTTCTTAATCCTGCCAATGTTTAGTTCATTCTTTTATATATATGAACACTGGATGAAAGATGCCATATAAGTTTTTAAATAATTTTAAAACAAGAACTGAAGTAATTTCATAAGGCTGAAATTACTCCCTGTCTCCCAAACAGGGAGAGAGCAAAACAAACAGCGCCTACAAACTCAATAGAAGTTCCAGGTTTGTTGTGGAGCACAGGTGCAATACTGCAATATGCTTATTACCACCTAGTGTTCAGTTTTAAAAAAAATTTCAAGAGTAGTATAGTGAACAAGCAATAAGCCCTCAAGAGTTGCTAGGAAGCCCTCGTTCCTATTATTATTTTTTCAGATGAAAATCACAGAAGAAGATCTATGGATTAGGACATATGCCAGACTATATCAGAAACTTTGTTCTTCTACAGGAGACATTCCAATTGGAGTTTATAGGACAGAATCCCAAAAGCTTACAACATCCGAGGTATGTCTGCTTACTGCACTTTTCTTTAGATTTGATTACAAAGTATACAACATTCTTTGGTCCTCATAAGAATGGGAACCACTTATTTGAAGAATATTGTGAATGCTGTATCTGCAAATGCACAGAATTCCAATTACCCACTGAAGGTCTCCCTCTGCTGACACGTATATGGTGACATTAACTCAAGGCTCACATTCAGCCCCAGACTTCATGAATAGCCAGACCCAGTCTACATACTGACCTTCATTGCTGTGCTTGCCTACAGAGAACTGATTGAAAACGAGGGGCAGCTCGGGCACAGATAGGATGGGCTACAATAGTTACCACTACTCTCAGCTTGCGTGTGGTGACTAGTGGCAGTATCCACACCACTACAAGCTGTATGGCCAGGTCCTGTGTCAGATTGACAGGAATGTCAACAAGCATATCTCAAAACAGGTGGCATTTCCCTATTCACATTAATTTCTAACTAGAAATAAGCAAAATAATAAATTAGTGTTATTAAAAGTATTGCAGAATTTATCTAAATTTAACTGCCAACAGCAGTAATTTTTTGTATATATGTATTTATGTGTCTGCCATATAAACATATATTTCTCCCTGTATATAAAGAATGACAAAAATACATTTTCCCAACTATTTAACATATTTTGTTTGTGCAGCTTTTATTTCTGTCATGTATAAGCCATTTCTTTACGTGACCATTAACACTGCCATCTCATTAAACCATGGCTCAAATACAGCTCTAAAATGCAACAGTGAACAACAACTTTCTCCTTTCTTCTGAAATACTCATAGTTTACTGATTTTCAAGACAGACAACTTGTATTTTTGTTTCCATATTCCAGAAAAATGTTATAAAACAGTAAGCCATGTAATACTTAACTGCAAGACTTATCTTGAAGGAAGTAAAAGCATTCAGTTACAGGTAAATCAAAAATAAGGGTTACAAAAAGGTATGCAAGATTGCACCAAGTTCACTAGTGTTTCTCTTTAAAAGCCACCTGTAGAGGTATTGGTGGTACACACAGCTTAGCCAGTGGACTGTGCCACTGCAATGATGTCAGCTGATTTTTTTAAAATATAGCAGCACTAACATAATCCATCAAAATAATTCCTTGGAGAAGAATACAGACAGCATCACTGCTAATGTGAAAAAAAGTCTGTCATGGCTTTCAACAAAACAGAGAATGTGCTTGATTTTAAGAATTCATTAAATAAGAATAAATAAGATAAAATTCATGGCAGTGCTTTATTCTTGCATTCACAGCTGGCTATCTAACATCAGGTCCAAAAAAGAGAATCAAGAACAGTTGAACTGTGAGCATACAACCTATTGTAAAGAGTGCACTTTGTTGGCTTTTTTTTTTTCCTCTCTGCATTTTCACATGCTTTCAAACATACAGGCTAACTGGCAAACAGCATCTGTACAGGGGAGGAGTAACTATAAGAGTAACACTTACCTTTTCTAGATGAACTTTTTGGGGGGGGGTGAGGGGATGTAAGCATACACACTCAAGTAAGTCTTCTGAGGCAAGATTAACTGATAAATTAAAAGACCTTCCAAATGTCTTTCTGAAAGCAAGGTTTGGGACCATCAGTCACTTAACTCTAAACTCACAATTTTACCATAACATTGAGAACTTCTGGAGCCTGTACACATGCAGCTGCTCAAGTGCTTGATCAGACCAGGCCCAGATTTAGTTTAAGATAATTATTGATTATCTTTTACAAAGAAGCAATTTCTTAAAACATTCAGACACTGAAACCAGCATGGAAGCCACTGTTCAATAGATAAGGCGTTCTACTATCACTCCCTTCCAGCTTTCACAGGTAATCTCATGAAGAGTTGGAGTTGAATCAGGTAGAGGAAGAAGCGGGATGGAGGTGGGGCTAGTTAACTTTTCAAATTGTCAGGTACTGCACTAATGTTGAAGGACAGCACCATCTTTGTTTGTTAAATAAAATAATGTGTTACTCTTAAAAAGCTCAAGGCTCTGAATGCAGACCCCCAGTGGTATTTTCACACTTAAATGCTTCAGCAGTTTCTTGTTTAGTGGGTGAGCATTTGTGAAACCCTTCCCCTTCTAGAGAGGGGCAGAGGAACCTTCCCTAACCCAGCTCTTCTCCAGAATACAAAAGAGCAACATCTAGCTCTGCTTCTGTGGTCTTTACAGGTAGATACCTACAAAAGCAGAGATGATCAAAGCTGTAATCTTTCTGCAAAGTGTTTCTTTTGAAGTTAAGGGAATTTTTGACCAATTTCACTACTAAAATAATATTCACGTGGGCTGTCATTTTAGCTTTTCTATATATTAAACCAGAAACAACTTGAAAATATTGTTGGATGACATCTTTAAAATGGAGGTTAGAGAAATGTAAATTGCTATTTTCCTCCTGAATTATGGACTTCTAACCATAATTTGAAGGTTTCTAACTCAGAGAATCTCCAATGTTTGTATCAATTTCAGTTTAAACAGACATAGGAAACGAAATTTGTATTGGACACACCTAGAAGCTGTTAACAGTTAATGGTTAACTTGAGTCACAAGAACAAAATATGGCAATATTAATATTTCTATATGTATGATTTCTCCTTTGACAGCCTCTTTTTGTTCTTCTGCAAATGAGAAACCCTCACTTCACTCTGACAAATATAATTCCTTTAAAGAGAAATTAAGTTTTCAGTGATCTAGCTACTAAATAACAAGCAAATATAGCCTGCCTTTCAATGGCCTGCACCCTATGACTCAAAGCATTTCCATTTCACACACAAAAAAAGGAGATACAAAGTCTTCCTTACCACCTGCGTAGCTGGTTTTCTGTGGTTCCTGTTAAAACAGTCCATGTTTGTTTCTTTAGATTCACTTCTGTTTAAGTTGTCTTTTGTATTCTTTTTCCCCTTCCTTTGTCAGTCATGAGAAATGGCTTCACAAGTAAGTATTTGCTTATTGTCTGGCTCTTTCTGGGTGCTGTGGTTTAAGCCCGGTAGGCAGTAAGCACCACCCAGCTGCTTGCTTGCTCCCCCGTACTGGGATGGGGGAAAGAATCAGAAGGTGAGAAAACTCATGGGTTGAGATAAGGACAGTTTAACAGGGGAAACAAAAGCTGCACACACAAGCGAAGAAAAACAAGGAATTCATTCACCACTTCCCATTACAGGCAGGTGTTCAGCCATCTCCAGGAAGGCAGGGCTCTGTCACACATACTTGGTAAGACAAATGCCATCAAAGCTGCCCCATTCCCTCATCTTCCTCCAGCTTTTATTGCTGAACACAGCACCACATGGCATAGGATATCCCTTTGGACAGTGGGGGTCAGCTCTCCTGGTTATGTTCCCAACTTTCTGTGCACTCCCAGCCTGTTCACTGGCAGGGAAGCAGAAAAGGCCTTGAGCCTGTGTAAGCACTGCTCAGCAATAACTGAAGCATTTCCATGTTACCAACACTGTTTGCATCACAAATCCAAAACAAGCTACCGTGAAGAAATTTAACTCTATTCCAGCCAAAAACAGTGCACCGGGTTAAACTCTGGGAGGAAAACCTTTACAGGAAATGGAACTATGCAGTAGACCATCCTTGAGTAAATAAAGCTTAGTGCAACATTGTTCTGGACACAAACTTCGTATTAAAAATCTGAAAGTGGACAGACTGGGACTTTCAAAAAAGTCCAGTGGACTTTGGTCCCTATTGGGCCTGTCCCTATTGAATTCTGAAGATAACAGATCATCTTTTCAGTCTGGTGAAAGTCTTGATCCTAAACACCTTAAATGCTAATGGACAAAAATCCCCAAGCTTATGATAAAAAGGAATATGTGACTGTACTTAACAATGGTTCAGACAGCTGTTGGAGCAGAAAAGCATTCCTACAGCCCGAGATGCAATTAAGGGCTATTGGTATGCAGAACAGTAAAGTTATTTTAACATAAAACTTAGAGTTCAATTAAAAATAAGGCATTGCTTCAGAATAGAATAGATGAATCTGCATGTTAAAATCGTTTCATATTTTACACACTTAGCTCCCAGGGAGCAGCAAGGCAAGGGAACAAAGATCTGGGAAACTAACTGATGTTTGGCGTTGTAGCACTGTTACCACCATAATCACAAGCCATCGAGACCATCTCAAATATGAACACTGGTGTGTTCACGACTACATTCCTGCTCCTGCCACATGTTGGCCAACCTAAGCTAGTGTTTAAATAAGGGTGTGAAACCTCCTATTAGAGCACCTTGCCCAAGTGAAAAAACCCTGTGGGTCACAGATGTCCAGCAGCACAAGTGAGCAATCACACTCGATTGGACACACAGTGGGATACTTGAGATGTGAACCTGCCTTTAAAAAAAAAAACAAACAACCTGAAACTTAAACAAACAAAAAAAGGGTTTAAAGGTAAAGGTTTCTTCACTTTATGTATGACAATATATGAGAGACAGATTTTTCTCCAGTAAAAGTAGCAGTGATTATGTAAAGACTTAACATGCACCTTGGTATTTTCCAGAGATTTCACCATGTTTCTATCTTAAGGAATCTCAAAAAAATATATACCCTTCATAAAGCATATGACCAATAACTACTATATAGTAATAGTGACACCTTATCATCAGTTATGCTTCTCATAGCCTGTAAACCTGCTCTATGCAAAAGGGAAAATAAATGAAAAATTAAAACAACCAAACCTCGAAATAAATTAGTGATAGTTACAAAAGTATTTTTAAAGAAAGTTTGAGACCGATTAAAACAGAGGGACACACACAGAAGTACTCTGCACTGGGTTTTTATCGTCTGTTTATTAAACAGCTGCCACTGGCAGGCATGTTTTTGTGCTGCCTTTGAAAGAGGGTTTGGGTTCTTTGGTTTTGCTTTGTCTTTAAACAGTTTAATTTTTAGCTCCTGCATTCAGGGAAGGGCCACTCCACACAACTTTTTCAACAGGTACCATAAAAACTGGATAGTTGCCTAAGTAAATGTTTAACTTCATCACCTTCATTTATGGTTTCAACTTACTTATATCAGCATTTCAAAAGTTCAAGCAAAGGATTTACAGGTTCACAGAATCAAAAGACTTGTTCTTTTACTTGGCCTTTCCTGATTAATCTCTATCTCAAAAAATGTGACTTACAACCCTGTAATAATTAGGATGATTGGTCTCTGCCTTTCCAATACCACTGCCAGCAAGTTCGGATAGCTGTTTTATCAAGAGTTGGACAAGGAAAGCTACCAATGCAGACAGGAATTTATATCAGATTTGTTCACACCAAATATATCCTTCCCATCCGTAAGTAGCACTTATCCTATGGAATGTACTTTGCTTACCTTAATCCATACTGTAAAATACATGGGAAAACAAAAGTCAATTTAAAATAACAAACAGCAACAACAAAAAAATCAAATAGCATTCCAGTACACAGGGATTCATGGTTCTCTCTTGTGCCCCACCCAAAATAACATCAGCTGAGTCAGTAAAAAAACTTCAAAAATCATGTAATTTTAAGGAAAAAAAAGCTTCTTTTGCAGACTAAGCTGAAGAATCTCAATAAATTAGTGGGTCATTGCATGACGCTTATTGCAAGATCCTAATCTAGAATATTAAAAACATGATTTTACTTGAAGTGCTACAACGTAGACAGATTTATTTTTCTTTTAAATTATTGGGTTTGATTGTTTTGTTGCTTTGGGGTTTTTTTGCACAGATAGAAGCTAGTCTGTGCAAAAGGGAAAAAATTCATATCTTTCTTACACTGTCAGACTTACTCATATCAAATATTATTTTATGGACTCCAGGAACCTCACAGGTTCTGTGTGGGAGAGGGTACTGAGCCTCTTAAAGGTTATATTCATCTGATGAGGTCAACAGAACCTTGCTCTCAGATTTTACATTAATGGGAAAAGGCCTTCAGAACCTCAGTAGCTCTTCAGTAAAATTTGTTTTAGTCATCACTTCCAGCATATTGTGAACTGTTTCTATTCTTGGGTGTCAGAGAAACTGAGCCAGCTCCACTTTTTCATTTACGTATTTTAAACACTCAACATATTGAAGTCACCGGAAACTTGGTAATATGACTGTGCTGATACCAGCGAGGGCTGTATTCACTATTTCAGTGTCAATAAAAGACATGTTGAAAGATCACAACAACAACTCAGGATTATAAGGAAGTAGTTTTGAAACTAGAAGCTAAAAGTATTAGTTAAATGTAAAAATAGACATGAAAACAATTTTGAAGTTATCTTTTGAAATGTTTCCTTTTATATTCCCTACGATCTTTTTGTATATGTTAGAACTGCATATATAGCCCATCCCTTTGAGTTTATTTCAGTACTGCTGTATATGTATACTGTTGGTCATATTTGGGTGGCATGAAGAAAACACAGCAAGAGGGAGAGATATTGTTCTGCCTTTTTTTTGTTACTATGTGACTGAAAAAGTAACATCACTATGATTTAAGATAAGATTTAATGACTTCATTTGCAAGAGGGGCCCTGAATCACGCTGAAGGCTACTGCATACATCCCTATTTTCAGACACAGAAGCATTTCAGATATTACGTGCTGGAAGGTCAAAAATGCCTGCGAGTTTGAGACACAGGTAACAGGCACGTTCCACCTGTGGTCTTAAAAAGAGTACTCAAAACAGTACAACCAAAGTCAAGCTATTACTTCATGAATCCGTAACATACATCTAAAAAGCAGTTACAGAACTTGAATTTCTAAAAATATGCAGACTTGGAAAAAAGTGGAGAAGTTATTCAGAACGGATTCCTAGATTCAGGAAAGGCAATATCAGAAGGCTAGGTTTGTTCTCAGAATCAAAATGGAATCGGGCACTAAATAACGCTTAAATGCTTTTGTACTTGAGAAATGCATTTATACGATAAATGAGCTTTTTACATAAAAAGTCAAAGTCTAGTAAAAGGTGCTCAATTTAGGAACACTCGCTAAGTATGAACAGCTGAATCTGCTCAACTCCATCACAACCAAAACACATGTTCAACTGGGCTGTTGAAAAGAGGAGAGAACATCTTAATCTGCTTCCATTTTTTAAAGCCTTTAATCCCTTTTGTCATTTTCCTTTCAAGTCTCAAATATCTATCAGTGTGGAAGAATGGGAAGACACCAAAGAACAGATTAGTTATCGTAGTAATCATCGTAACTCAACATCTAGCGATCAGTCTGATCATCCCTTGTTACGACGGAAAAGCATGCAGTGGGCCCGACGGCTGAGCAGAAGAGTACCAAGACACTCTGGTAAAACAGCTGAGAAGATAAACCAGCAGCGAATGAACCTCTACAGGAGGTCAGAAAGACAGGAGCTTGCTGAACTTGTGAAAAACAGGATGAAACATCTGGGCCTTTCTCCAGCAGGATATGGTATGATCACTATAATACTTTAAGAACTGAGGGTGCCATAAACAAAATATTAAGTTTATGATAATGTTTTTTTTTTGTTGGGATTATTTTGAGTTTGGGTTTTTTTGTGTGTGTTTGTTTTTACTGAGAGAAACTTGCTGGAGTATTTTTAATCAGTTCTATTATCACCCATTCCTATTTTCAGATGGAAATCTCAGAAGGCAGTATGTCAGTCACATTTATATTTAGCACATATGATATGTGTATGAGGAATATATAAACATTCCTCTGTCATTGAACAGCTGTGCCATACTTCCAGAAACTTGTTCAAATATAAATGAAGACAGAACTGTTGTGAAGTTCACTCATATGTCAAGGTGGACAGCTGTTTATATGTGAAGGATATTGAGTTTTCCCCACAAATTTAAGTTAATGCCAGTGTCACATTAAAGTCATTTTTATAAAGCATGTTTCACTAGGTCTTTAGATGCCATTTTTATCCATCAAGTCCTTCTCCAGCAAGGATGATACTGGATTGCTTTCTTGTTTGTGGTTTTGTTTCGGTTTTTCTAAAGCTATTGACAAGAGCTTTGTAACACTCTGTTTAATATATACACTACAGCTTCCTGGGGTGCCTTTCTATGGCCTTGGCTCTGTAGCACGTTGTGTGGAACTATGGGTTCTAGTTTTCCTATAAACACCAAGAATTTCTAGATCCCAAATTAATTGTCTGCATAGTAAGTCCAAAACAGAGCTTAGTGCTTTCTACTTCAGAAGCACCAACACCAGGGTTCCTATACTCAATTTCATTTGAATAATCCAAAATGTACTGTTTTACAAATGAGTTACTCTTAATTTTTTTAAAACAATTATTTTTAAATATGATTTCTCGCTAAGGTGTCTGTTAAATGAAGGTAAATGTGGTATTTCCTGCAGAATGAATAATCTAATTTGTCCATTTTAACTACACACATTCTTAATACAGGGTCAAAACATCTTTTGATACCAAATAGCAATGTACTACTCAACAGTAGTTCTTATTGTTGCTATCGATACATAATCAACTTAATTGTGAGAGAAGGCTGCTACAGAATACACGGCTATAGTTCTGCACAATCTTTACAAATTAGATATGTAAATACAAACTTTTTATCCCATGCTCCAACTGGATAATTACTATTCCTGCTTTCTTGGCAGTTACTATATGACTCTCTGCAGGAAGATTCAGGAGTAAATATTTTCCATGAGGGACACAGGCCACAATAACATTTGCTCAACCACAAAGAAGTTTTGTAAATTTGATTCATATTTAGATTAGCAAGAAGAAAACTTTGTTGTATGCCTGCTTTTAAGATACTTGTTAAAAGCCAACAGTAAATGTTCATTTCATTATTTAAATTTAGGAAGATTATATACCATCCGCACAACAGCAAAATCTTGACAGGTAAATGCTTTACCTAATTACATTTATCTGCCCTGATTTTGATCTATAAGTTTTCATCATCACTTCCCTATTTTCTTACAGATGCGCCTCATTATAAAGAAATTTTCTACTTCTACAACCCCAGGAACACACACATTCTGAGGAAAAAACCACCCAAAAACCTCTCAAAGAATCAAAAACCAGTTTCACACATGCAGACCTGGGTTGTCATATTCCCACTGCCATCTATCCACCCTCCCTCACATTTATAAAGACACTTCAGAAGCCTTTCACCCCCCTTCAGAGCTAGCTCACTCCATACTCATCCTACTACATATTAAACATGGAATAGAAACTTTTAAAACTCCCTGTTCTTTCGAAGTGGCAGGAATCAATCATGCCAGCTAGGTCCCAGAAGTTAAACATACTCCTTAGTACTATCTCTCTGCATGTGCAGGGAACAATAGAAAAACAAAACAGGAAAGAAAAAAATGACAGCTGCTTATGTATCTACGTGCATGAGGATGATCTCTAAAGCCAATTTCACATCTTCAGTGTCCTTTTTACATTGATAACCTGATAAGCTCTAAAACCTCCAAACTGAAATTCAATTAACGGTGAATTCTTTTAAGCCAACTGAGATACACCACAGTTTTGACTATGCAAGCCTCTAGCAGAGGTGTGATGATGCTAGTATGGTGGTACAGGTGCTTGTATAACTAGTTACAACACTTTGCATCAGTTTCTCCATACAGAAATAAGCTGTATTGTAAAACACCATTTCAGTTGTGTAATTACATCTATACTAAGTCTATGTGAGCTTATCTAATTGTTTTCTAGACAGAAGTACTTAAAGGTGGTGCAAATGTATGATGCAAGCATGTAGAAAAATTACATATACTAGAAAATACCCAGTACAGTAGTTTTCAACCTATAGACAATATATCAAGAATACTTCATTAACAAGATTGAGGAATTGCATTGAAACTAGAATGGGGCTGTTCTCTTTCAAATCATTTTTCCTAAAATGCTGAAGAGACAAATTAACACAGAAGAAATGCCTCTCCTTTTTAGTCCTATCAAATTAAAAGTGCAGCACCCCAAGAAGTATACCAAGAGAAAGCTATAGAAAAGAGACTGCAATGACAGCTACAAAAGTGTAACATGACTAGGCAAAAACCTTAAAAAAAAAATTCCTGTCAGCCTTTGTTTGCAACATACCATTAGAAGGATAGTTAAAAATGCAATAGAGAAATATCAATTTTCATTTATACAGCATTCACATTTCAACCCATTGGCACAGGTAATAAAAGGAAAATGCTTGCTAGATAAATAGGGAAAGGGGAAAAAAAGGTTTATATTGCCCAAATCTGGAAATGGATGAGAGTGCCGTACACCTGCATTTAACCTTACTTATCACTTGAACATAATGCCAACTGAGGATGGAAGTCCCTACTTCCCACATAATAACATAAGCTGCATGACAGATTGATATATTACATTAAAATTGGGTCACATTCAGAATTGCTATGACTGAAAAAATGCAAAAGAACATTTTTAGAACAGAGAGAAAACAGCATATTCTGAGAGCTGATAACTCAAAAGATTCTATGTCAGATAGTTCCAATTCAAGTACAGTTGAAAAGAAGTTGCTAACTTACTTGAAATCACTTTGACACCTGATACTTTTTGACAGTGCTATGAACCAAAAATGATCTTTCAGCAGTTTGTCAGAAATCATAATTTTCACAATTTGTTTGTAAATATAATTTTTTTTTTTTTTGTCCTCTAGATGAAATGAACGATCATCAGAACACACTTTCTTACATCCTGATCAACCCTTCTCCAGATACAAGATTAGAGCTGAATGATATAGTGTAAGTTAAAAAAAAATCACAAGACCAGCATAATTTCTTATATGCACTTTTGACCCGAATTAATTTTATCATCTTTCTGCTGGAAAAGAACCCCAAACAGGAACCTGCAAAAATTAAAATATGGAGACTTCTATTTAAATAGGCACCTTATTATACATATATACGTACACATTTAAAATGCACATATAAATATATAATACACATGCTAGTAATGCTCTTACCTCCATATTCTCTCATCCTTCTCTTACTCTGTGTATTTAAAAAAAAATAATCTAACCAAGTCTGCTGGATAGCTTCACAGAATTAATCATTAAATTCTTGCTTATAATTTAGCTACCCAGTCTTAGTAGAAAGATAACCCTTCAGAATCGGTATTTTCAAATGGGATTTTATTACATGGATTCAAAGATCATTAAAGTAAACAGCAGTTTTCCCATGAATATCATGTGATATTCATGCTGAAGAGAATTCAAATACAAATGGCAGGACCTTAACACAGGAAATTTTTTCACTAGCTCACCAGGGATTTTGCAAACTACATGGAAAAAAAAAAAGAGAGAAAAAGTGAACACAAATTTGAACTGTCAAGAAAGTTTGGAAAGTCAAGCACTTTAGATAAGTATCTGACATTGCCTCATACTGAAGTCTGATGCGATTGCTGTGTTCGGTGCCTGAGGCATTTCTGCCTCTGCCTCGCTGTACTAACGCACCCCATCTGCTCCGTGGGAAACAAATCACATTGCCCAGTTATGCAAGGTCCTCTGCATCAGTGTTGACCCACCTCACTGCTTGTTCACAAGGTGGGAAACTGAACTATTAGCCTTCCTGATACTAAAATAAAAATCATCATAGTGCTTTGTAGCACTGTAATATATGAAAAGCATAGCTTAATATTAACAGTATCAAAGAGCAAAGGCAATTATAAAGTTTGTTGAAATTGTTTGGAATATTATTTCATTGTTATGGAACTCCACAGTATGATGTATATTAATATTTGACCTGTAAATTCACATACTGTTACCCAGTCTATCTAGGTGGACTAGGTATCCTGCATTCCATTTTTCTTTCTTTGCAAAAACAAAGGTACTCAGCAATCCAGTATTGCATAATTTTGCAGTGGTACTGAATTTGTAGTGTGTCACATACACATATTTAGCCTGTACATGCACATACTGTTACCCAGCTTTCCTTATGCTTAATGAGTGGGCCTGTCTCTCAGCTTTAGCTCAGACGAGAGTTTTGGTTTGGGTTTTGTTTGGTGGGTTTTTTGCAGGTTTTTTTGTATTGTTCCCCCCCCCCCCCAAACCAAGGAACACAATCCTTGTATTGTGACAAGCAGGAAGGAGAGTCTTCCTATATATTTTTTCCTCCCCTTCTCAACATATTTTGCAGACTTCCTCCAGCTGGTTACTCTTTCATCACACTTGTTAGCTGTACCTCTATGCCTACATGGCTTATTCTTACCCAAAACACATATTTCTGTGCACATCTATGACAGAAGCCAAAACAGGTATTCACTTTAAGTCCTATAGATGCAACCTTTATTCTCTGATTTCCCACGTTTATAAAATTTTAAGTCTTTTTGCAGTCACTATGATCCTATTACATTTGTAATTTATGGGTATATTAAGTAACACACAATGCTGAACCAGCATATGAGGAAATTTTCTTAGCTTCTAGAGATAGGCTGCACCCAAAGCAGCCTTCACAGCTCTTTGTTTCTCAAAAAGCTTTCTTGTTAGTCTTTGCAAGACAACGTTTAGTATCTTGACCTGGTGGAGCTTAAAGGACAATGATGTCACTGTCTTTATTGAACAATTAAAACAAAAGCACTTACGTTTCAAGTAATAGGTTCAGAGTTTGCCGTAATAACTCTATATTTCATCTAGCCTATTTGCCTTAAGAAACAGGTACTGAATAGCAGCATTTTCATTCTATAGCCATGAGATTTTTGTACCAAAACTTTTAACATTTTGACTCTCAGCAGAGCTTGATGTTCTTCTTCTATATCTGAGTTTAGGACTTGCAAATGGATCTTGCAGTAACACTCCTGTCCTCTTTCATTCCAGAATTAGTACAATATACTCTGTTGCTAGCACTGGCCCTCATTTAAAAACAAACATACCCCCAAAAACAGAAAACAAACAAAACCAAAACCCCACTACTGGCTGTTTGTTCCTTTGACATGTTTTGGTTTTTCTAAATTTTTTTCTGGAGATTAACACCCTCCTTATTTGCTCTGGGGTTGGTATTGATGATGCCCTATAAAAACATCAAATTCAGAGTTACAGTTTCAGTTCCAAGAGTTGCAACTGGGAATTCCAAACGTCAGCAATCTGCAGTAACATCCAAAGATCACACATAGGAATTGCTTATGCAGTACTGCTCCAGACATGCCTAAAGGAGGAAGGTGACCACTGAGAACTGGCAGCTGACATCAGGCCACTTACAAACCCTCAAGCCTCTAGTCATGTATTTGGGCTTCTTACAATTTTATCAAGGTTTATAACTATAAGAGTCTTGTTCATTTTTACTTAAGGGATGCTGTGATTTACTTATTACAGAATTATTTGTGATGTAGAACTTCTGAATTATGTATTTCAGGTACAAGTAATTTGTTTAGTTTACTCCGGAAAAAAATAAACACCGGAATTTTCCCCCCAAATCTAAGAAAACTTATTCCTAACAAAAAGCAAGAAAGTAGGATTTTTTTCATGTGTTTAAACATGCTTCATTTGGATTTGATGAAGAGAATAGAGCAGACTCTTCCACTACTCCTCAATTTCATTGTCTGGATCAGCAAAACAAATAGGTTGTTCTGGAGTAAACATGAATGTCAGATGTTATTAACAGAGGATAAGAAGTGTGACTTTAAACAAATAGATACAGTGAGAACATGATCTAGATAGGAACAGTACAAGTAGATTTTTTTGATCCCATATTTAAGTCAACTGTTTTCTTATACAAGTAAGTTCAGGCTACTTGTCGCAACAAACTCTATGAGAGAGAAAATGCTGCTATTCTATTTTAGCCCTGACAGAAAGAGAAACATTAACAAAGTAATAGAGGCAGGCAGTGTTTCCAAAGCATGGAAATCAGGTGAGTCTCTTGGGTATCCACCATAAAGCCAATGCCCCACAGACTCAGAATTCCATGCTTTGAGGAGCCAGGAATGGTCTGTTACTGGGTGAGCCGAAAACAGATACAAGCAGTTCCATGGGAAATATGACAGTGATTGCTCATACACCTACAGAACATGTTAGTTCAGTTAATCAGGATTTTCCATTCCGCATTTTGTTGAATTTTCTTTTTATGAAGTCTGGGGCAAAACATACTCATTATACTGAATGGTAGAAGTTCATTGACTGTAAAAGCAGAAACTTTCTTTAGGGCCACTGCAAAGTAATCCAGAAAACCTTTATAAGCACCACACAGCATGCACATGGTCTCATTTGCATATTTAAGCATTTTCATTTGGATGAGGAGGAGAAGATGGACAACCATTAGTCACCAAGATTTCTGAGAATGAGAGAAAGCATTCTTTCGCATTTGTTTTTCCTGCATTTCATTTTTGTTTCTTTGGGGGAAAAGAAAAAAAACCACCCACAAAAAAACCAAACCAGCCAAAACCAGGATTTGAAATAAAATTTCCAGTGGCTTCAACAGTAGCTCATCTTTGGACAAGTCTAAGATATGGGGATTGAATCTAGTCTGTCTTCTCTTTAGGAGCATAGTAGCACTGGAAATCACTGACTAATAGTTCAGAACACTGAAATGTTAGTTCTGCAGCAGCACAGAGCTGCTACTGCGTCAGTCCCAAAAACTTTCTTGGATCAGGCAGTTTGTCACTTGAGAGAGCTGACAAAACAGTGCAGAATTTACATTTGCAAATTAATGGGAAGCTCTTCCATCCTTCTCGTAAGAAAAGCGGTTACTTTAAACATCTCCAACTTAGATTCAAACTCATGACATTTTCCTCACGTATTCAGATCTACTAGAAGTTCTTAGAATAAGGGTCCCTCTCCAGACTGTTGGCCTACACCAAGACTATCAACATCAGGCACTTTATTTATCGAGCACAGTGACAAGAATTATCCATTGTTTTATCACAAAATTCTTTTAGAAATGTCTCTGTGGACTGCTTGTCCCTTCTTTAAGGCATAATGGATAAAGGAGATGTATAAGGAAATACAGAGTCAGTGGCAAAAGAGCTATCAGTCAAAATTAAGGTTTGGCTGTGCCTAGTACATACAGATAATGTCTAGGCAGACAAAATGTGACAAGCTTTATTATTAGCATCTAAAATGAGTGGTGTTACCCAACAGGAACTAGACTAGGTTCCTTCAAAATATGTCTCTAAGTCTTCCTCAGAACTTTTCAACATTAAAACTGTATGCTCTTATTTTATCCTTACTTGTGCCAAGTCTTTTTAATAAATTATAATTTCTTTTTATAGATACTTGATCCGACCTGATCCATTGGCTTATGTTCCAAATGCTGCAGCCAGCCGAAAAGACAGCTTCTGCAATACAGTGGGACAAGACACCAGGGAGGAAACACAACTTTGATATGTAACTCATCACAAAATTAAGAGACAATTTTATACACATGTTGTTTCCACTAACCATTTTGAAAACTAAGTGGTACATTTTATTCAGATTTTGGAAACAAAATGACAGTGGGTAAGTTACCAAATTTAGAAATGTGGTGTCTAGAAGCTCTGATTTAAGGCATTGTCAGGCATGTGCCTCATTCAAATATGGTAGTTGAACTTTGTCAACTGAACAGAATTATGACACCTATTACTATTTAACCATTATGAACAAATTGAATAAGTGACAGATTCCATCATGTGTTTTGCTTAGATGCTTCTAAGCATATTTATCAAGGTGAGACCATGTCAGTGACTAAGCTTCTGACCTGCATCAGTAGATACTATCTGATGCTCGTAGAGAGACCATGCATAATTTGCAGAAAAAAATGTTAATACCTAAAGGCACCAATGAGGCTTTGCGTGTCAAGAATCCAGCCTTTGAGAAAATGTTCAGTCTCAACCTGTCACTCGTTTATATTAGAACAGGCTAGTTTCATTTTAGCCTCCAGGACTTGAGTGTTTGTTCTCTGGGTTTACACAGATCGGATTGTAATGACACAACCTCATCTTACCACAGAGGTTGAGATCTGAGGCAGATCCACTGAAAGATTAACTCAGAGGAGCACACCTGGAAGAAGGTCCCTATCATCTCACACAGGCAGCCCCCCACATTTGCAAAACCTGGGAACGTACTATTTGTGTGAAGCTGCAAACAGCAGCTCAGGTGAAATATCACCCTTTCAACCTTAGTGAGTTTGTTAGTAGAAATCTGAATAGATTATGATACAAAAGTGACAGCATCCCTCTAGGGAATGATTCATACCACAAGTCCTGCTGATTTCCATGAATATGCCAGAACTGCAACTGTCCAAAGTATGTACATGCCCAGTCATTCAGATTGCCCAAATGTGATACATTTTCATATGAAATTATGTATCACATTGAAAATTAAATAAATTTATAACCCATTCCATAAAACAAATGCAATACCACGTTACGTGAAAAGGCACCACGGATTTGAAGATTCTGTTTTGGCATTAAGCACACAGGAAAGCATCTGCTAGTGTATGAAACATCTGAAGCTGCTACAGAGTCTCTAGTCTACACATACAAGGATGCCACAATTGTTCAAACTTTTTACAGAATTAAGCATGCCTGTACATGATCTTCCAAAATCACATTCTTGCTTCGCCATCTGTCACAAAGGGGGAAGAACCTACTGTTACAATTATCCGTATAGAACTGGTACAAGAAATTCAGCGGGTAGTTTACAGTGGAAAAACTATTGCTATAATCATTCTTTGAATTCCCTTGCTCCCTTGATGTCCCACATATACAAAAATTCAGTCAAAATTCTATATTATTTGGTAAAACAACTACAATTTATTCCCGAAAAATAAAAAACCAAGCTGCCCAGTGAACAACTCATGGATGTGAGTATGCTTATCAGCATTGTAAGGATGTTGAAATCAGGTCAGGTTGATATTAGGAACGACAGTAAATATGCTATGATTTCCTCCTTCCCTCTTAATTATTCCAAAACTTAACTAATCTGTTCCACTTTAAGTCAGAAATCCTAAAGCCACAATTATTAAAAAAAAACCACAGAGGTCTCAGAGTGGACTGAAGCCACTGGAAGACCAACAGTACCAGCTTTAAAAGAGAAAAGGATAACTGGGAAGTAAGGTTTCTCAGCATTTTTTTTTTATATTGATGTTAAAGTACCATCATGGTTCACAAGGGTTTCAGTGATTCTGCATAGAGTACATTATTGTTCAGTGTTTTTGCACACACACAAACATCATTTATCAAATTACTCACAGGTAAAGACAAAGTATTTCAAATGTTCCCTCTGGGCACTGTGAAAAAAAGAAACAATTGAAACAGCTGTGCAGACTGAAGCCTACCTTTTCTTAAAAAACAGTACATGGTACAGGATCTTGTCCAAGACCTGTCATAGAAGTTATCCCAGAAGAGATTGCACATGCAGTGTGAATAACTTCCTATTTTTAATGCCTTCAGTGAGAAGAGTATTCCAGTGAATATTTTCTAAAAAATACAAGCTTCTTAAACATGTTCAATTCAAAACATTAGGAGGATCCTTCGTTTCACACTGAAGGCCTTTCTAATGGAGTCTCATGTCAGCAGACAGGATTCCAGAAATACGCCTACCCTTCAGCTGGCAAGGTAGATACTCCACTTCGGCACGATTCACACACTGTTCACAGGTATTCCCTGTCCACTGCCTGCTGTATCCACCACAGATTTAAGGACTCTCTGCCACAAGGATCTATATCTAGGACTCGATGCCTCACGTTTAACAGCCCATAAAGCAGTAGAAACAAGCAGTCAGGTGTATCCATTTTCCCATCCAATTCAGCAGAATTGCTGCTCAGCTAGAGTTGAATAGTAGCATGTAACATGACCTGGTATTTCTCCAGGCTTAATGAATTTCTAATTGCTCATTAGTCCCAGAAGATTTGCTAAAGCAAACACAAAGACAGCTGGAGACACTTGCAGTCTCTAAAATGAATGAAAGGCAATCTTTCTGAACAAAATACTTGGTTCTCTTCAAAATCTGCTGGAAGACAAGCAAGGTAATAAACACTAATAACAGCTTCTTATGAAGCAGAAGTTCTAATAACCCATGAATAATATACCACAAAGTTCTATTAATCAAAATGTACTGCCTTTCCTGTTGAAAGCAGAACAAGTTTGCTTCCTCTGGCATATCTTCACAGACAAATCCCATTCTAGTGGGATTTAAACCTCAAGAACATAAGCACCTCTACGTTAACACTGAGTGAGACAGTATGCACATTCATTCAGTGGCCAGGGATGCAGTTCTTTGCCTGTAGGATAACCTTTAACATGCTTTCTTCTCACTATGATTATCAGAAACATAATGCAAGTCTAGCTGGACTGGAGACCAGATTGAGGAACAGTAATCTCTATACTCAGTGCTGCAGAAGGGGTGACGAAATTCTAGAATCAGCAGGTCCAAATGACTGTTGAACAGAGGAGTTTTGTCTGTTCATAGGTCACTCAGTAGATAGAGAAATTTAGAGCTATGATCACTGACATAAGCAAGAGATTTAATTCTAAAACAGTTGTCAAGGGCCAGATGGCCAGATAACCTATATTTGTTTCTATCCATCAAGAAAAAAAATTGGATTATTTCAATCTGTGCTTAAATGTATGTATTTTTACCTCCTGACTCGCTTCTACCAATAACTCAAAGTTGCAATCCCAGTGAAGAAAGCAACAGCGGATAACTACTTCATTCTCACAAGGGAATTCTCCAGCAAAGAAAGACCTATCTATGAAAACGTGTTACCTAGTCTGCAGTAAGACGTCACAAGAAGTGTTTCAGTGGAATGCAGTAATGCAGTGTTTCACTCCAATTCCAGAACACACATTAATTCATATGCAAAGTAGAAAGCATACAGTATGAATTTTTAAAACCTGCAGCAGAATGGGTTAGTGAAGTTTTCATGACATTTTGACTTGGAAAATAACAGTTATTTCCCAGAATACAGATTCCCCCTCCCACAAATAGCTTCCTACTACAACTACTCTTTTAACAACTTTAAAGTATACAAGCATATATATCACTGAATATTTCTTATACATCTTTGTTTACCAATGCACCAATAAAATGCTAAAGATTTCAGGCTTCATCAGTGGAGGAAAAAAATGACATCAAGGGCATCAGAAGTAACACACAGTTCTGTAGCTTCTAGGCAGCTAAGATTGACAGCAACCATTCTGTAATTTTGGTGCACTGATTCATGAGGTTTTGCTGCATTGAATTCTGCTTGATATCCAAGGGAAATCAGTCACTAGAATCTGGAAATAAATTAATAAAACCAAGCAGCACCGTGTAGTGACATCAAGTTGTACAAGGTTCTATAAAACACTTTCTCAGGGCAGTGATATAAATGCAGAATTATAAAATAAAACAATCTGCATAAAATATCGTTGCATATTCTTGATATTATATTAGAAACAGCTCATCCCACTTTGAAACAGACAAATATTAAATAAATTCCTAAAGAGCTGCACTTCAAATTTTCAGCCACTGTTCCTTGTGCTTCATGCAGAATATGCATTGCAGGGAGACAGAAAAATAGTTATTAATTCATATTAAGTTATGAGAGATGACCAAGACTTTGCTTATGGTCATCTTCTGAAGTTTATCCAAACTATTTACGATGATTTTGTTATACACTTCATTATTGCCAACAATACTAATGCAGGAATGCTGTCAGTAATGGTAATTCAACACACACAAACTCCCACAGCCTCTCAAGAAGCTTAAAAAGGCAAATATTTCTGCCTTATAAAGTTAAAAACAAGCATTTGAATTTTCTATTAACTAAAAAGTTTCCTGTTTGTTCTATAAAATCCAGACTGTATACTGCTACAAAAATTCGCAACTGGCCCATGTCAACTGAGGAGAAAGGCTGGGATGCAGTGTATCACATTAAAAGAATAAATACTTATTTGTGCGCATGAGGCGTCCCAGCCAAATTGGGGCACCCCAAATGCGGTTTTACACAGGGCTTATACCTTTAAAGTCTTCAGGTACAACATGACTTGACTAATCACTAACACCCACACTACCAATTACTAATCATAGTAAAACTTCTTCCCTAGATCATATCCTATTTCTTCTTTTGTCCTTTTACCAGTATGGGCTGGCCAGTGAAAGACAGCTAGTTTCTCTGGCAATTGTATAGCTTTTAGTTAGTAAGTATTTACTCCCACTAGAAGTTACAAACCCTCATTGCTTCCATACCTGTCCAGTGGTGCGTCAGACTCCAAAGGCAAACAGAGAATTGGTATATTTACAGTCTTTTCTTTGGACATCTGGCAAGTCTGTTAACACAATCAGTTCTGCTGCTTGTGCATTCAACTTCAGACTGAGTGTGAAGCCTCCCCTACCTTATCTTTAATAGTTCCTGAATAACA